CAATGGATTTTTTTTCTAACGCTGTAATAAAATGTGTAATATTCTGCATCCAGACACACCACTGTAAGAAATCTTACAATGAAAATATTGATCTGTGTTTACAAAAAAAAACCTTATTACTGTACCATGGGATCGGCGAGCACAGAGCTTCACTTGTGCTATGATTACACAGATAAACAAGTGTCAGCACGATTAACTGTTTCAAGACACCTAAAGAAAGGTCTCCTAGCAGGCGGTATCTCATACTTAAGGGTTAAAGTCTTTGGGGAAGAATTATTGAAGATATATAGCTTACAGAATGGAAACTCCCTTTATCTACTTGGGGGGTTTCATAGGCATTGTCCTATATCCTATAATTGAAACCAATCAAGCTGTTCTGCTGGGTGGATGAAACGCTAGTATTATAATGTACTACAGAGAGTTGACTGAAGTCAGGCTTAGGTGGTGGCATCGCCTGACTCCTTAGGCCCTTTAAAGTGTGCGTAAGCCGCGCACTCGTCTGCTTTAGGGATTTTAATTAACTCCCCAGAACCCCCGGAAATTAATAATAGTAACAATCATAAACGGTAGCCTTTTGCTGGAGCTTTGAATGTTATTTTTCCTTCCAGGAGCTTGCATTTCCTGCCCATTCTAAGCTGCTCTCTCTGGGAGGTTTATATATAATGCACAGACTGTAAAGGTCTAAGGCTCACATTAATGTCGCCTCTAGCTGCGACCACAGACACTTTCCCTCCCTTGGCAGCAAAATAAAAAGGAAGTGTTTTGACTACAGGGTGCAACCTTTCAGACTGATCTTTGTGCCATGCCTTTCTCTCGAAATCTTTAAATGCGCCGAAAAAAATAAATAAAAAGATTTACAGATCATAATTATAAAAGAACACTGCCAGGCACCCAGACTGCTGCTGAATTTTTCATTGAGGCCACTCTCACCAGGATGCCCCACTGCATACTGGGCAAGCCTACAGCGTAGAGTAAGTACAATTATTTATTTATGTACTTAATCATTAGGTAGCAAAAGCATTATACACCATGGATAATGGATCACCCTTGCATATTTTAAGAGCATGGAACTACATTTGGCAAAGCTATGACATTTATAAAATGTATATTGTGCAAGGTATGTGGAAAATGTAGGCACAATCTATCAAAGGGAAAACACTGCATAAAGACATATATACATCTTTACATAAGGGCGTATTTATATATTTACAAAAATGCCACGCATACAATTCCTACCTAGGCTGAAATCAAGCAGTTGATTCTTGGGGGTTGATAGTGAACCATTGGATATTTGTAGGTCTATGTGCCAACCTAGGCTACCTCAATTTACTAACAATGGAGAAGGCAGAGCAAATGTTCTAAACCTTGTACAATAATTGAATAGCTGGGCCGCCCTTTTCAGACTTCATATGCAAATCTTAAATGAAGCCCCTGGCTGGAATTTATAAGGTAATTTGCAGAATTTATAAAGACGAAAATAACTCAATGTGTGATCTTATTTTCTTATGTATGGATCATATTATATATTACTGCTATGTAGAATTATACACTCCAGTTTGCATAGATTCAACAGATTGCAAAGTCTAAAGTATACGCTAAAAGTTTCTTTTTTCGTTTTGGATAGAGTGTGGAATGGTGAGAACCCCAGTATTTTTATAGCTGTATCATGACCACTGACACTGGGGCTGAAACTAAGGGAAAATCTAAAATGATGAGTTGTCACCAGAACAGGAATAGAGGGGATATCTTCTGATAAGAATGCTTGTTCTGGTGACAACTGCCTACGAAAAGATTTAGCAGCACAGTGTACTTCTGCCTTGGTGGGTCCCTGGTTTGTATCTTGGTCTGGACACTATCTCCAAGGAATTAATATGTTCTCTCTGTGCTTGTGGGTTTCCTCCTGTTAGTCTGCTTTCCTCCAACACTTCAAAGACATGCTGAAAGGTTAATTGGCTCCTGTCTACATTGGCATGTGTGTACAATAGGGATTGTACGCTCCTTGAGGGCAGGGACTGATGTGAATGTGCAGTATGTAAAGTGCTGCGTAAAAATTGTTAGTGTTATATAAATACCTGTAACAAATACATTCATTTACGTAACTTTGGATAGCTTTCCTCACTTCCTGTTGTGTCTACAGGACAAAAAGTGAATGGAAATCTCCTAGACGGAGAAAGAAAAATAATGAGGATTTTAACCCTTCCATACTCTATCCAAAATAATAAAGTGTTTTAGTTTAAATATGCTTTAGCTTATACTGTCTAGATTTTTTTTTGTATGCATCATTGAGAGTTTTGGCTTCACATATATTTTAACGTATACTTTCTATATTTTGTAATGCATCATTGATCATCCTTGTATGTTTTAACTTTAGATATACGAACTAAACATATACTTCTACTATATATACTTATATACTATATGCTATGCTTCTACTATATAGATATAACTTCTACTATCTATGCTTTTTATGGATCACTGAACATCATTGAATGTTTTGACTTTAGATATACTAAACCTTGGCTGTCTCTATTTTTTTAACCTCCCTGGCGGTATGATTTTTTTCTTTTTTCGTGTCATTTTTCGTAGTATTTTTTTTTGAATTTTTTTCGTTTTTGTCGTTTGTTTTTTTTAAATATCCCGCCGGTTCCATACCCCTGTGACGCGTATGCTCGCAGGGGATGTAACCCAGAAGAGGGATGCCGGCATCGGCCAGAGAACACAGCGCAGCTCGAGGGACAAGGTAAGTAAATGCTATGCGGCATTCCCGGGTGTAGCTCGGGGTTACCGCTTATGGTATGGAAAAGTAACCCCGAGCTACACTCGGGAATACCGCCAGGGAGGTTAATGAACCATAGAACAGTCTTAAGGGCTTGTTCACACCAAATGCGTTCCAGATGCAGAACAGTTACAGAACGCATCAAAAACGCATCCAATGTATTCCAATGGTATTTTGGACTCTAGTTCACACCGCAGCGTTCAGTTCCAGAGCATGTAAAAAAAAGTGCAGCAAGCCCTATTTTTCATGCTCTGGAATGCATGCAAACACATAAAAAATGCATGCGAATGCACTGGAATGCACTGAAAGCCCATTTTAGGCTAAAAATAAAATGTGTTTAATTTTTTTTTCCAAAAATAGCCCAGAACGCTGCAAAAATGCGGCAAAAATTAGGCAAAACTCACGCAGATCTGGTCTGCATTCGGTGTGAACAAGCCCTAACAGTTTTGACTTTTGATAGACTTTATAGATTTATTTTTAATGCATCATTGAACATCGTTGAATGTTTTGGTTTTCGATATATGTTACATGATACTTTAAAGATTTATTGTTAATGCATCATTGAACTTATGTTACACATTACTTTTACTGATGATATTCAAATGTCACTTTGTCTTTTTATATCTGCTACTCTTAATGTTAAAGTGACATTAAACTCAGGAGTTAAATCTTAAAAATACATTCATGTACCTTACCTATAAACAACAATGTATCTTATTTGTGTATCACTCGGCTATAGATCCTCAAATCATCTCTGAATTGGTGCTGACACTGTCCTTCCTTTTGTTCCCATGGTCCCTGTGTGTGTTTTAAAGTAGTCACCACTCCAAGCTTACTCCCATGATGGACTACAATCTCAATACAAATTAGTAAAGTAAGCGTGAGATTGTGGTCCATCACAGGAGAAACCTTGGAGCTGCTTTTTTGCCCATGGTCCCTGTGTGTGTTGTAAAGTAGCCACCCTCATTTGCCAGTGATCTGAAGGTTGATGGCCTATTGTGCCACTTTGCTCTCTTTCTTATGCAATGATTCTCATGATTCCAATGTATGCGTTACGTGGTGACAATAACTATACTTTCCGATTTTGAGTGTTTTTATTCCATACAAACCTTGATATGTATATGTGGAAGCAATGTTGGTCGCACTGTCATCATCAATATATGCAAAATTGGGTTTGTTTGCTATCAACCTTTAATCTTCCTTTTGTTTTTATTACTATTGTTTTTTGTTATCTCTTTGCAATGTTGCTGTTATTTCTTGTGTATTTATTACTCTTAAATAAAGAAAAATTGTTAAAAAAATAAATAAAGTAGCCACCCTCCAGAAGGAAGGACAGTGTCAGTGCCTATTCAGAGATGATTTGAGGATCTACAGCTAAGTGATACACAAATAGGATACATTTCTATTAATAGTTGTTAATGAAGGCACTTGAATGCATTTATAAGATTTAACACCTGTGTTTAGTGTCACTTTAATATTGAACTGTATTACCTGGTATCAGTTTAGAGAAATAAATAATGCATAATTTCCAAAAAATAAAAAAATTATAAAAAATTATAATAATGTTAAAATTATAATAATAATAGAAATAATGTTAAAACATAATAATCATTTATTATTGATATTATTATTATTTTTTATTGTTTTTACATTATTATTTATATTATTATTAGTAGTAGTGGTATTTTTACTACTATTATTATTATTATTATTTCTATTATTTATTGTTGTTATTTTGCTGTTTCTTCTTTTTATTATTATTAATAGCTTTTCTGGCCACCTGTATGAACATTTTTGGGGATATTTGTAATACCTGCCCTGCACTAGAAGATAATTGTATATTAGGAGAAGGTACAATGACATAAAACAGGTAGAAGAGAACCCTGACCATGGCACCGGATCGCCCTGGCACAGGTGGAGCACACACCTCCATTTGGAGTGTCCCGGGTGGGTTGCAGTGGTCCTTGTGGCAGTGGTGCCCCTCCTCTCTGTAGCTGGGCAGGGAGGGAGATGATGGAGAGAGGAGGGCAGGCAGGGGAGTGAAGATTCTCCCAAGTCACATGCTCCCAGCAGCAGTAGCTGCCGATCTTGACTGTTAAGAGAGCGAGCCGAGATTCCTTGTGCCGGCGGCATCCACTCGGGGTACCTGGCTGGCGCTGCCACCGTCAGACGGGCTCCGTGGGGTAGATGGGGGGGATGCCAGGGCAGTAGCCCGCGGTCCTGATGCTGGATTGAGGCTGTTTTGCGTCTTGGGGGTCCTGCAATATAGTTCGTATGGCTGTTAACCCCTGCGAGGGGGGTGCCAGTGGGCAGGAAGTGGCACCGCACTGACTCGAACACTTGTGTCCTTTCTCTTGGCATGTATCCCTAAAGTGGAGGAGGTCGGTGACAGAACAGGTGATATGTGGCCGTCTGGAGCCAGCAGTAGAGTGCCCTGCTCCCGGGACTCCGCTGTCAGGAGGGCAGCCTTCGCTGGGAACCTGTCTGCTCTACCCCTTCACCTGGTACCCACCGGCAAGTGTGTACGTGTCTTCATCAGCGCCAATCCTGAAGGTAATTCTTCTTTATCTACTATTATGACTGTCATTGTCGGATTATGAACTTGGGAGGCATGGCTGCTGCAGAACCCCTTGGACAGGGAAAAGCTGCAGGATGCAAGTGATGGTGTAACCATGGTGACAGTAATATGTCACTCAGCATCTCTGACCTCTCCTCTCTAGGTCTGGTCCTCTGGCATGCATGACTGTCAGTCCTGTGCATGGGGCTTGGGTATCTTTCAGTCCCAATTCTTGGGCACCTATTTTTCTTTTCCTGAGTGCAGTAAAGGGGGCTGTGAACACATGTCATTCATTTATTATGCAGATAAGCTGTCACCAGAATTCACACTTCCCCAAGAGCTTGACATCCGAGCATCACATCTTGCAGCTTCCCTAGCTCCAGTGAAAACACATTACATTACAGGATGTGTAGACTTGATGAGGCACCCAGCTAATGTAGGAAGATCTTCCCTAGCCCAGGCATTCAATCACAGGCTCAATGAGGCATGTGGGCTTACAATAAATACACTTAATGATATAGGCACACTCACATAGATTCCTTTCCAATTAACAAACTTCCTTTTTTTTTTTAATTCATAGGAGAATTAAATGACAGAACATCTCCCAGTACAGCATCAGATGCGTTATTTTATTACCATATTAGATTTTATTGTGCATATCATAGACATGATTACAAGAAAAAAAATAATGTTATATTTGTATGAACGTTTACATTGGTTATTAAAGTGATTTACTAAGGGGCGTTTGTCACTCCAAAACCTTCATTTGCATCAAGGGCTAAGGAGCGATTAATGAAGAAGGAAGGCAATGTAAAGCTGTGATGTAGAACAGATTTACCAATTTAGAATTTGGGTTCTACTTTAAAAAAAAAACACATGCTGACATTACTGAGTAATCAGCAGTGGAAACTCAGTAATTTTGTATGTAAATGCCCAGTTCTGTAGCCGAATGCTGAATGACATTAACAGCTCTCCACACAGTTCTGTGCCTGGGCGCTGGAGTTAGTTGTTCAGACGGCTCACATTGTCACATTAATTCAGACACTGACAAACTCAGCAAAACAGGACTTATCTAATTAGAGACTTACTGCATGTCCAAATGCTCCTTCCTTCCTTCCTTTCTCTCAGGATAGATTCCCTTAAAACTGACCGGGTGTAAATAAAGAACACGGCTTGAACAGTGTAATTAAAACAATAACATTTGAACTACCATATAAGATCTTTTCATGATGAAGCCATTGCATCAAATCCATCCTTGAAATGTATATTGTATCCCCCAACTGTCATGTATGTATAATCCTGTTATTCCTGGCCCCCTTCTAAATGCCTGGCCCTCATCTCAATCCTCCAGGTTCACTGTTTGGTGCATAATTGATCTGCAACAGAAATACTGGACAGCGATGATCATTATAATGACTGAATAGTTCAAGATCAGCTGAGGATGAGCCTGACAGCTAGAACACTGTCATCTCTAGCAGATGGATAGGAATGTGCCTATAAATGCTTTGCATCCATAGACAGATGGCAGTCAGTTATTAGGAAACAGTTCAGTTGTAGAAAAAGCTTTTGATTTCATGACATTGGTATACACATTGATGATTGTGTGCACTTGCTGTGACCCGCAGCTCCGCAGTTATCTCTACATTGGCAAGAGATTGGCCAAATATTTCCAGCCTGGCCAACTTGTACAGAGTCATGTTGCATTACACCCATCAAAACGGCAGCCTCACACAAAAGGGCATCTACTGTGTTTGAGAACTTCAGTCTGTATCACTGGGTGCGGTGAGAGCCCATCATAGCATGTTGGAAGCTGGGTCTCCATTGCTTTGAGGCCAGGTAGGCGCTTTTTCTCAGACAGTGCCCTCTTGGCACAGCAAGAGGCAAGTCCCCTACTTGGATCTGTGGCCCCTCAGATGTCTCTTATTGATCTATACAGTAGATAAGTGGTGCAATGATGTAGAATATGTATACTTTATCCACTGATCACTTGAGCATTAATGGGAAGGGTTGGACTTGCTGAATGGGTTCGGTATGGTGTATTTCTAATGCTTGGGACTAGGCCAAACAGGTGTTGCTGTAACAATACAAGGAGCTGCCATCCTAAGAAGCAGCATATTTTGTGATATCATAGCTATAGACATTTTAATTCTATTCCTCACGCCCAGTGATATCGTGCACTACAGCACAGTTTCCGTGAGCACCAATAGGACAGGTTGGACTTGATGAAGGGGTAAGATGTATTTCTGATGCTTGGAACTAGACCAAACAGATGTTTCTGTAGCAATATAAGGAGCTGTCCTACTTGGCATCACCATGGTTTGTGACATCATGGCTATAGAATTGTGTATTCCACTTCTAACCCTCCATGATATCATACAATAGGACACTGTTCCCATGTGCACCAATAGGAAAGGTTGGACTTGCTGAATGAGTAAGATCAGGGCCGGATTTACCAATGCCAGGTTCCTCAATGCGCCCCCCTGTATGAAGGATGCATACAACTGATCTCGGCGACATCGCAGAGGTCACTTGTACAAAACAAGCGGTGGCTTCCCCACTGTACATTTAGCCCTGCTTGCCCAAAGCAGGGCTAAATGTAGAAAACAACTACCTGCCCGGTGCCCAGAACTTCATGTCCTGGGCATCAGGAGATAGGAATTCCACAACCCTGCTGCCCCTCTACTCCCTGCGGCCCGAGGCCGGGCCCCGGATGGCCTTGGGGGAAATCCGGCCCTGAGCAAGATGTATTGTTGATGCTTTGGAGCTAGACCAAACAGATGTTGCTGTAGCAATAAAAGGAGCTGTGCTCCTTGGCGGCACTATATTTTGTGACATCATGTCTATAGAAATTTGAATTCTCACGCACTACGAGACTGTACCCATGAGCACCAATAGAAAGGGTTGGACTTGCTTAAGGGGTATGGCGTAATACTGATGCTTGGAGCTAGACCAGACAGACTTAACTGTCCTTGGCAGCACCATATTTAATTACATCATGGCTGAAGACATTTGAATCCCAGTCCTCACCCCTCCCGCGATATCACACAACATGGCACTATGCAACACATTAGTACCTTCCTACGCCTAGATAGATTAAGGCCTGGGTCAGCCAGGGACAGTGACAGGATCCTGGAGCATGGAAACTTGACAGCTATTAAATGGTGGTTTAAATGGTCTTTATTTTAAATAATTGCCTTTAAAATGGTAAAAACTGAATGGAAATGACATTGAATGTTGGTTTGTACACTTTCATTGTCTTATATTTTGAATACAGTAATTCCCAAACAGCAGCACAATGTTCGCTCATTGATTGTCACTATATAGCATCAAGTTTTATAGGCAACTCATTGGTGACATCATTGTCTACAAAAAGCATTGACATCACTGTCATCTGAACCAGGAATTAAAGCACCTTTCACTGAGCTGAATACTACGTTGTCATTCAGAGAAGAAGAATTGTTTACGGTGAATAGCAGCTGACAAGATCACACTTGCTCATTGTTTGAGAGCTTATCTTTGACCTTGCCTTTATATACCGTGTCTAGAGATTCTCCAGGCTTCTGTAAAAACTTGCTTTTCCCCTATGTCTGGCTGCAACGTGATATGCACATTATGGATCGCAATGTTGAACTGAGACTGAGCTGTATGGTTACAACCTATACTAAGCAAAAACTGGAAGCAGCTAAAAGTATCGTTATGTCATGTAATATTTGCTGAGAAATCATATCCTCAGACCTGATGCCATAAGCTATTAGGTATCAGGCTTTCATGATTTGAGCTTACACATTATTAATGAACACGTCTGCTTTTCACGGTATATTACTAATGGATGGATAGCATCACCTCCCTGGGTCAGTGCAGCAATCAGCCACAACACCTTACATACGACGAAAGAATGTTATGGTAATAATAATGCAAACTGCAAGTGTGTTCAATGAAATAACTTCACTACGACACATAGTATAGTGCAACTTTATATACAATACAATACAGTATAAATGCAATAAATATTTATATACAATACAATACAACATAAATACAATACAGCTTATATTCAATACAATACAATACAAATACAATACACATTTATATACAATACAATGTATATACAATACAACTTTACATACAATACAATATATTTTTTATACAATACATACATTTTATATTCAATACAATGCATTTTATACAATACATACATTTTACTGTATATACAATGCAATATATTTTATACAATACAAACATTTTATATACAATACAATACAACACATTTTTTAGACAATTACATATTTTAGTTTGTAAGCTCTCACGGGCAGGAACCTTCTAACCATCTTGACTTGTATTGTAATTGTCATGTCCTCCTTATATTGTAAAGCGCTGCGCACATTGTTGGTGCTATATAAATACTGTATAATAATAATGTGCTGTAGTGTGCAGAAAAACGCAGCTCAACCGACATGGTGTAAAGAAATCCTGCCCTGGAAGCATATTTAAACAGCTACCTACATAAGGAGATTGGATGACTGGGTAAGGCATCTTGTGTTGTTGAGGTTCAATAGATTAGACAAGAGCCTTGTGATACCTGACATCCAGTGGAGGGGTATTCACTTACAGATCTGCCCTTTAAATCATGAAATTTCCTAGAAGCTCTTTGTCCTTGGAAGGGGTCAAATAAAAGAATATTAACTGAAAAACCAAGGGCAACATCTAACTTTCGTTACCCATGGCAACAGATATATATGTAGAGCATAAGAAATATTCAACAAGTTCTGCAGCCCTGACATTTTTAGATGCTGTTTCACACATTTGTGAAGTAGTTATGTTAGGTAAAGTGGGAGTTTCTTTTTTTATGTGCTCCACAAGGCATTGATTTAGCGAAAAGTGACAATGTTGCCATCATTTTCGTATGCTAAATGCACACCTTTCAACGTTCTGAGATGAGAAAGTGGGACACCTTCCACCACAATGTATGTAGACAATGGACACACCCTTGCCACGT